AATGATGTTGTCGGAGTGGGAATTTCTGCAGTCATGCAAGGGATTTTATAGCTGCCCCAAAAAAAAAAAAAAAAAAAAAAAGTGAGGCAAGGAGATAAAGATTATGAACCGAATGTCAGGCTGAGGGGCTGATCTTTCCCTGGGGAGGCTTTGAAGAGTTCTGGGAAGGAGAATGACATCAACAAGTTGCCACCGTGTCCTCTGTGCCTGGTGTAAAAAATGAATAAAGTGAAGCCTCAATTTAATAGAGTCAGGAGACCAGAGGGAGGCCTCTCACCGCCTGTGATGAGTAGAGCCCAACGGGAAGAAGAAAGACTGATCTTTCCTGGCAAGGACTCTGCCAATGAAAAGCCAGGGACTCTGTTTACTCTAGCCCCCGACTTCCTTTGCCCCTCTATAAAAGCGGTCTCCTTCCCTTGCTGTGTCAGAACTTGCACATGGCTCACAGTGGTCGCAGACCCCAAGTTGCCATGCTCAGCCAATGCGGAATAAACCCATGTTTGCTGGAGAAATGTCTGGCCGTCTATTTTTTTCAGGTCAACACTAGTCACCCCCAGCCTCAGGAGAACTTGCCAGGAGGACCTTTCTCTTCAAGGAAGAAAAACCAGCAGACCCTAAGCGCACGCCACATGACGGGACCTCTGTTGGTTGGTTTTTATGTGTTCTTTCTTTAATTCTCACACAGCTTTGAGGTAAGACACATGATCTCTGATTTACAGAACGGAAAACTGAGACACAGAGAGATGAAGTGAATTGCTTGCTAACGATGCCTTAGGAAGTGCTGGAACCTGTATTTGATTGAGCCCAAGTCTCTAATCCTATCACCTGTCTTCCTTCTGCTCTACCTGGGGACACTCATACAGTAGTTAACGCTAATACTGCCACAAAGGCTTCATCAACTAGTCCCTGACTTCTCCTTTTCCCCACAGAGGCTGTGTTCCTCCAGCCAGGACCAAGCTCTGGGCGAGTCCTCATTAGCTTGTGTTGATCTCTGAGTACTCGGTGGTGCTGGTGGCCTCCTGGTCCACAGGCTCACGAGACTTCATCCCGTGAAAGCTGAGGGAGGCGTAATGGAGCTCCTGTTGCTCCCCTGAAGGTGGGGCATCCTCTGCAGGGGACGACGTCTGGTCTGGGGGGCCGTCTGGCCAGGGCTTTTGCCTGGAACCCTGAGTAAATGGGAGAAAAGGGAGTCAGAGAAGGAGTAAGGCAGGCACTTTCCCCTCCAAGGGAAAGTCGGCCTGATGGGACATTTATTCATTCATCTTCTTATTCCACACGTGTTTCCTATGAACTCAAATATTCACTCATTCATTTACAGTTTTGTAATACTAAGACTGATTAGGCCATATCAAGGGCTTACAAATCGTATTTAAGCTTCACAGAAAGCCCCAGTATGAATGATACTCTCCTTATCCCCATTTTACAGGTAGGAAAACTGAGGTGGGGAGAGGTAAAGTAACTTGCCCAAGGTCACTCATATAGTAAATGGCAGAGCCAGGACTCAAACCCAGGTCTGCTGTGTTATTGACAATGTCTCCCGTGCCAAGTCCTGGGCGAAGGGCTAGGTGGACTGTGTGAGAAAACAGACATGGACCCTGACCTCAGGCAGCTTACAGTTTGCTAGGAGCACTGGATTAGAGACAAGGAAACAAAGCAAATTTCTAACTTCGCAGTGTATTGTGAGATAGCTTATGCAGAAACCAGAAAAGAGATGGCAATTCTGGTTTCCCTGGTGGTGCAGTGGTTAAGAATCCGCCTGCCAATGCAGGAGACATGGGTTTGAGCCCTGGTCCAGGAAGAGCCCGCATGCCATGGAGCAAGTAAGCCCGTGTGCCACAACAACTGAGTCTGCGCTCCAGAGCCTGCGAAACACAACTACTGAGCCCGTGTGCTGTAACTACTGAGCCCGCGTGCCACAACTACTGAAGCCTGCATGCCTAGAGCCCATGCTCTGCAACAAGAGAAGCCACTGCAATGAGAAGCCCACGCACCGCAACGAAGAGTAGCCCCCGCTCTCCACAACTAGAGACAGCCTGCGCGCAGCAACAAAGACCCAACACAGCCATAAATAAATAAATAAATAATTTTTAAAGAGAGATGGCAATTCTGGATCCTGGGCCTGGGCTCCATAAGACAAAAATGAAAATAAAGCAGGACCCAAGTCTCCCGGCAAAGATGGTACCCAGACACTGGTAAGCCATTCCCTTTTCTCTCTCAAGTCTGCCACACCCCTACATCATCATGCTATAGAAAAGTGTGTTGAAAGCAACATTAGCCTTCAAAAGTAGCTCAGAAAGAAAAAAAAAAATGAGTTCCAGGTTAGGAACAAATGGTTTTATGACCTCAGCAAAAAAATAGAATATCCAGACAGAGCTGGCCGTATTAGACATGAGCAAGGTAAAATGAAATGACAAAGCAGCTAGGTGTATTGACGCTACTGCAGCCAAAGAGGGAGGAATAAGGATGTGCGTCCATTAATAATAGCCTTACCATATACTAAGAAGGGATTAAATTAATCATCATAAGGCAACATGCAGCTCAGGTGAATAAACAGGAGAAAGTGATATGTGCATTCTTTCATTCAATACCTCTTTGCCGAGTGCTGGCTATGAGTTAGGTGCTGTTCTCGCAAATGAGGACATAAGAGGAACTGAAACAGCCCAAAATACCTGCCTGCATGCAGTTCCTTATTAGAGGGGGAAATAGTAACATTAGGTAACATTTGTAAGCAATTTCCCCATGACCTAGGCACATTTCTAAGCATTTCTTGTAACAACCCAATGAAACAGATACCACCATATCCACAGTCTCATTTCCAGAAGAGAAAATAAAGAAACAGAGAGGTTAACTAACTTGCCCAAGGTCACACAGCTTGGAAGTGGTTGGATCGAGGACTTGAACACAGGAAGTTGAACTCCAGGGACTATGAAGCTCATGGCTTTACTATTCTGCCTACGGTATGAAAGTTACAGAAAGGTTGAGAGTAAAATAATGGGGAAAACAAAGCTCTCTGTCACGGTTCCTGTCAAGATAGTGAATTCACACATGCCACTGGCTCTATTCACCAAGATCCAACAACAGAAGAACTACAGATGGAACTACAGGATGACAAAATTTTATAAATCAATTAGTCGATTGCTTGATTAATCAATTGATCACACCGAAGTCCCTAGGGGGAAGTAAAGGCTAATGTGAACAAATGGGGTCGGGGAGGTGATGTGCTGCAGCCCAGGGCTGGGGAATCTGCCTTGTTGATAAGAGCATGTTTCCCCTCAAATGTGCTTGAATGCTGCTCCTTTCTCTCTTCTACTCTTGCCTTGGGACAATCATTGCCTGCAGAATTCAGACAGCATGGACAGGACAGTGATATGCAGGTGGCCAGAGGTAAGTGCTGCATCAGCACCGTAGTTTCCCTGGAGTGAAGAGAAGGAGAGCGGAGACGGAGCCTCACTGGCCTTTGGGATTCTTGTCATCACTTTCTCCTTTCCAAACTCCACAGTCTAGTGGATCAAAATCCACGAAGAGTCCCTGCCCAAAGCTCCTTCTCTGTGAGGGTCAGAAGGCAAAGGGGTGACTTAAGCTGCTTTCTTGGGGGGACAGGAAGTGGGAATGATGGGCAGTGGTTTTGGTGCCTGGGGGAGCTCCACCCTGGGGCTGGTCCCCGTTGCTCCTTTGAGCTGACACAGACTATCATCTGCCTTTCACCTTCACCCAATCAATACTCCAGACAGAGTAACTAACATCCCCAGGGGAATGTGCCCTCCCAGCTCACAGGACTGGACACCCGTGGAGTGCAAATGTCCCGGAAGGAAAACAAGCCAACAGAACCTGGGAACTTCCTGTACCTCCAAAGCACAAGTATTAGAACACTTTGATCAAGGGTTTAAACTAAACACGCTAAATGCACCAAGAGAAGTGAGTGATGATATTACCATCATGAAAGTGAGAATAAGAAATTAGGGGGGCTTCCCTGGTGGCGCGGTGGTTGGGAGTCCGCCTGCCGATGCAGGGGACGCGGGTACGTGCCCCGGTCCGGGAAGATCCCACATGC